CATAAGCTAATCAAAGACAAAAGAATAAGTAGAGAAAAACACCTTCCTTTTTGTCTTCTTAATCCTTAAACCCTTTGTTTATGGATCTTGTGCTTATGTTGCAGTGTGAACTGGCCCTTACTGGATTTCAGATTTCAAGAAAAGGGGAAAGAAAATAATTGCAAAAGATCGGAGTGTTATTACGATGATGTACTTACCAACATCCCTGATGATGTCTTTACAATCCTTCTCTGAAAACCCATAAGAATTGGATGGGTGTTCCAGAAGAGTGTACAGACTTCCYCCAGAGCACAATTCCATCGCAATGATCTCGTTCTGGCTACGCAGCTAAGAACAATAAACAATATCAGTAAAAATACTATGTCGAAAACTGTTCTTTTACGATTGAAAAAGCAAAAATTACCGGAAGAAACTCGGTTTTCAATTAAAGAAATAAAAATAGGAGTATTAAGTCTTAGAAAGTTTTACAATGATAGAACTTTGCGAATGGAGCTCAGTATTTAAATACGTCGTCACTTGGTCGGGACATTATTCTTTCGTATGATGTGTAATGGGGGAATCCCCTTGAGTGTACAGTGGGACGATTTCCGCCTTCTACGCATCGAAAAGCACCCATCGTTTCCGTCATTTCTTGAAATTTCATGTAAACCAGCATATTGAATTTTAAATTATCTTTTGATTAACAAATCTTACGATTTCGTGCTAAAAATTTAATTTTAGGAGAAAAATACGATTTTCAATGCGATTGCTTTGTAAGCTTAAGTCTGAGCTTGCAGCTGCRAACAACTGCTTTAAGTTTGCTAGTCACAATATAAATTCTAATATAATACTTAATATATTTAGACTTTTTGATAATGAACATTAGTATCTCAAGAAAAATATATTTTAAATTTATCTAAAATTCTCTATTAATAAKCTTAATATGAAGAATAATTTTTAAAACGAAAATGAAAGCTTTGATTGATCTACTGAGGAGGTGCTACCACAGAAATTCTTGGTATTTGAATAAATTTAGAGAGTCTGCCATTATAAAAGACTAGTCATTCAKCAAATAAACCTTAGTAAGCTTAATACCTCATTTTCAGAAGCAAAAATTCTGACGATGTTCTCATGGTCTAAACGATTCAGGACTTCAAATTCTCTCTTTCGTACGTCCAACGGYCTCATCATACCAAGATGGTTAGTGACTTTAATCGCCACTTCGTTACCTGTTTTCTAMAATGAAATTTACTGTTATAGTTTAAAGAACTTGGAGGTTGATTTMGGCGTGATGTTRTACCTTATCACGACCTTTGTAAACGGCTCCAGTGGCACCTTGTCCAAGAACATCTTTGATATGCCACATGAAATTTGGACTACTGCGAATTTCCATATCTAGTTATCTTGAAGATTGGCTCACACAGCCTTCGACATCTAGTTCCTTTCAAGAGAGGTTTAAAGTAAGGGGAAAAACGGTTGAGTTCAGCTGGATTTCTCATGAGTCACTTCCAACATGGTCCATGTAAGCACTATTTTCGGCTTTGTCGGCCATACTTCGGGAAACAGTCGGAATTAACCGAACCGTAGGAAACCCAAACAACCTGACAATATTTCTGCTTYTCTGTTTTTATCGTTTTTATTTTGTTTTTACATAATTTCAAGGTATTATATATTTCTTTTGAGAATCTTTCCTTCAGTGAGYAGCTGAAAAGCAATTTACTCATAATTGGGATCCCTGTGCTTTTGTTGTTGTTATGTCATAGCACATGTACTAGTGTTAGGAGGATTGCCAACACATTACATAACTTTTTTGTCTTCAGTTAACCGTTGTTGTATCGCGCAAGCAATGGCTTCTCCTGTAGCTCTAATTCAAGGTGCAAGTCGTGGTATTGGCTTACAATTCAGTAAGCATCTTCTGGCGAAAAATAMTGCTTCGACTATCATCGCCACATGTAGAAACCCKRGCGCTGCCARCGAACTACAAGAGCTAAAGTCAAAATATCCCTCCCGTTTGGCGATATATCCCATCGATATCCACAAAGAGAGTGAAATTGAAGACACCAGAAAGCGAATTAAAGAAAAYCACGGCGAAAAACTTGATCTTTTGGTAAACTGTGCCGGAATTCTACATCCCACAGGCAAAGGTGAAACGAGTTTACGAGAGGTAACACAAGAAAGTGTTTCTTCGACATTCTTGACGAATGCTATTGGRCCRTTATTAATGGCTAAATACTTTGGACCGATGTTACTTAAAGGAAATGCATTATTTAACTCGCAATCTGAGCAATTCTGTGGAGTAATAGCTAATATTTCAGCTCGCGTTGGGTCCATCAACGACAACAGATTAGGTGGCTGGTACAGCTACAGGATGTCCAAGACAGCTTTGAATATGGCAACTAAAAATTTGAGTATTGAGCTAGGGAGGGGTCGCAAGAAGGTTGTTTGTGTCAGTATCCACCCTGGAACCGTAGACACGGAGTTGTCCAGGCGATACCACAAGAACGTTGACCCGGCRAAGATATTCACCCCAGAATATTCAGTGCAGTGCATGATGGGAACAATAGAGGGGTTGTCTTTGGAGGACAGTGGAAAGTTCCTTGCCTGGGATGGACAAGACATTCCATATTAGTTCAGTTTGATTTGTAAAATTTCATCAATTCATGACATRACAATTTTCATCATCATCATCATCATCAACCCCTCTTTAGATGTTTAGGGCTTCTTCAGTGAAGATCGAACAGTGAGAAAAAAATTGCCTTAAAGCATTATTTATAATGCAATAAAAAAAATACAAATTAAACAAGGAATGCTCCAATTCATTCACTAGACTTTTTTTATTATGTAATACATTCTAACATCCTAAATCTAATTSWAATGAGCTCATGAGAGAGTMATTTTTATCCATCTGTGAAATAGCAATTGCACTATTWAATRCTATTACCCCCTATTAGCTCACAATAGTTTTTTTTAGTGGCCTTTGGTAGCCTACTATACACCCTAATCDTTACTATTAAACACCGACTAGTAGTAATTGTTTCACAGACGGATGAAAATGACTCTAACATTACCAGGCATAACACAATAGAATGAAGTAAGAAAAGCCAAGAATTAGATATTACACTTATAAACCTTGGTACATTCTAATTGCATGGTTTTCTTTGGTGTGGCTATTCACATCACACTTTAATAGTCAAGTTTTGTTTCATGGATTTAATAACTTCACTCTAAATGACTTATTC